CAGACAATAACTAACCCATGACACAACCCTAACACACTATTAGCTTAGCTGGGCAGTCAATCCGCCCTCTCTTACCTCCTCCTAAATTTCTTCAATTTCCGAACTATAACTTCCTTCCCCAACCTCTCATCTTCTTTCACCCCTACTTTCTCTAAAAAAAAAAAGTCGCTGGGGGGGAAGGAGAGTGGCAGCGCACGTGGTTACAGGCTGAGAGATTTAATGTTTGTTCGGGTAAGGCAACGCCAGCACTGTAGTTGAATCCAGCGGCGATAACACCTACTGTTTCAGTATAATACAGTCCTTTCCAATTCACCTATTAATCAAATACCACAGGGCAATCGACCGTTGATTTTCAGCGCAATTAGGAAGCTGAATATATGCTATTATATCACAGACTTTTGCATGTTAAAGGATATTATGGGTATACATTCAGGGGTGCCAACCCAACACATACCACGAGTGGCTGAGGTATTTGCTCATTCTCAATTCCAACGGGTCTCCAGGGCCACGATCATTTTTTGGTGAATGTAGGTTACATGTTTCTCACCCTTATCTGGAACATCTATTTTGTTATAACTTATTTTATGGTTGGTGCAGTATTTCAGAGGCGAAGCATATGAATACCAAAGCTTCACTAAATGTTGGTGTTAATCTCATTACTTTATCGCTTTCACGCGATACCCGGACTGATGTGATTTCTAATTTTGGACTAGTTATGCAACCCTTGGTTAACCGTATAAAAGCAGCATCCGGTAAAAGAAATCAAAGAAACCGGAACCAATGGCCACACACACACACACACACACACACACACACACACACACACACACACACACACACACACCTACCAGCCCCCTTTCCCACTGACTTAGTAGAAGAATTTGAAGTAGCAAAAACGTCTGGACAAACTGAAGTTAAAACGCTCCTCCACCCCCATTGACTTACCAATGAGACTCTTCAAAGAGTTCTCCCCGGAGCTTGCTAAACCCCTCTGCTCCATCATCAATGCTTCCCTCAGTTAAGCCAGATACCCAGCTGACAGGAAGATCAGTGCCCAAGTTAACCAGCCCACAATCCTTAAATCAGCTATGACCCATTGCAATCACTCCAATACCCAGCTTAATCTGTGAAAGTTTTGTGTTTGACTGAGCTTATGCTGATATTGAAGGCGCCGTAGAACCTCAGAAATTTGGTAATATGAAAACTTCCTCCACCACTCACTGTCTTGTCAGCTTTCTCGACTACATATACCGCCATCTGGAGAAACGAGAAACGTCTGTAGCTGTCGCCTTCATTGACTTCACCAAGGCATTCGACATAATCGACCACAATTTAATCACCAACAAAGCTATCGACCTCAGGTTTCGAAGAAATCTTATACCTTGGTTTATGTACTTCCTCAGTAACCGACGCCAAGCTGTATGCTTCCGAGGGGCTGTCTCCACCTTTCAGTCACTCACCTGTGGCGTCCCCCAAGGCACCAAGATGGGACCACTATGCTTCCTTATGCTTATCAATTATGCTCTAAGGGAAACCCCTGCTCGCTGGAAATATGTCGACGACTCTACCATTGGGATCAGTGTCAACAATTCTGCTCCCGACTATACCTGCCATTCAGGATTTATTGAAGTCTCCAAAACTGGGCCACCAACAACCACGTCACCATCAACCATACCAAGACCATGGTTATGCACATTAACCTCTCCTCCAACGTTGTCCCACCCCATTCCATTACTTTAGGTCCCAACACACTCCAGGTTGTAGATTCCACTAAGCTCCTCGGCGTCATCATAGACAACAAACTAAATTGGAAACCACACGTCAGTGAAGTTGTCAAACCCTCCAGTTTCCATCTCCACCTTCTCCTCCGTCTCAAGTCCCTCGTAGTTCCTGCCCCCGAGCTCCTCAGTGTGTACTCAACATTCATACTTCCCAAGTTCACCTATGCCTCCCCTACCTGGTCTTCTTCCCTAAATGCTACACAACGTAAACATCTAGAAAAAGTGCAAAAGAGGGCATGCAAGCTTATTCTCCCCCCATCCTACCCCACATATCAAGAAGCACTCAACACACTGACCCTCTCGACCTCATCTGCAAATTTGGGGAGAAGCTTCTGCACCATCCTCGACAACGGCTCCTACTACCACCCGAGATTCCTCGTCCAAGAATTGCTGTTCGACACCACAATCGCATCCAGCCCATACGAGCACGAATTGATCGCTATAAGGACAGCCCAGTCCCAACCATTGTAAAAATTATCAATAACTTGTAATCAATCAGTGTCTTCACTCCCAGGCAATCTTATTTTTTGCACTAACACTATGTTGAAATTGCCTGTAGTTTGAGCTTCTCCTCACCTATTTATTATATATTATATTTGTATCACTTATGTTACTTGTATATTATTTGTGAATCAAGAGACCCATTCCCCAATTATGTAACTGTATATTTTCAGCCTTCCGGCTGCCATCGTCTTTCAATAAACCGTTAATTACTATTATTAGTACACACCTTAATTCAGCTGAGATAAGATAAGCTGATCAAGCTGCTTGAAGATTAAATTAAGAACATAAGAACATAAGAACATAAGAATGGTGGAAACTGCAGCGTTTCCTATTGGCCCATACTGGACAGTCCCATTTACACCCAACCCCTATTGCACATTTATCCATCCAACCTATGTTTGAAGCTATCCAGCGTATTCGAGTTAATAATGATGTTTGGTAACTTGTTCCATTCATCCACTACTCTATTTCTATACCAATGTTTACCTATTTCGCGCCTAAATTTAAATTTGTCTAATTTAAAACCATTGTTACGTGTTCACTCCTGGTTGGATAGTTTGAGTACTTTGTAATGTCCCATTTGTTTAGCCCTGACTTCTATTTATACACCTCTATCATATCGCCCCTCACTCTACGTCTCTCTAGGGAGTGCAAATTAAGATGCTTTAACCTGTCTCTGTACTCAAGGTTCCTAATGCCCGGGATTCTTGTCATTCTCCTCTGAATTGTTTCTAGGGGTTCTATATCCATTCTGTACTACGGTGACCAGAATTGAACTGAGTAATCCAAGTGAGGTCTCACAAGCACAAGATATAGTCTTAGGATGACATCTCTCGTCTTGTAACTAACACTCCTTTGTATGAACCCACTTTATTAGCCTTGTTTCGAGCAAATACACATTGTTTACCTGGCTTACGATTCCTATTTATCATTACCCCTAAATCTGTCTCACATTCGTATTTCTCCATAACATCGCTGTTCATCTGATATCTGGTTTCTCTGTTTACGTCTCCAAGACTAAGTACTTTATCCACATTGAATTCCATCTGCCAATTTTCAGACCATTCGAAAAATTTGTTTAGATCTTCCTGTAGTTTTGCGGGGTCCTCGTCAGATTTAATTACACGCCCTATTTTAGTGTTATCAGCAAATTTACTTGTGCTGCTCTCTACGCTCGTATCTATGTCGTTTATGTATATAATAAATAATAATGATCCAAGTACTGAGCCTTGGGGTACTCCACTAGTGACGTTACTCCAATCGGATTTAGTGCCTTTAATGCGCCGCTGTTTCTTGTCCTGTAACCACGCTCAAATCCATTTTAGAATATATCTTCCAATGCCATGAGCCTCCACTTTTTTTTGTTTAGTCTTTCGTGGGGGACTCTGTCGGAGGCCTTACTAAAGTCAAGATATACCACATCATAGTCGTGCCCCTCGTCCACTGATTCGAAAGCAGCTGAAAAAAATATATTTTTTAGTCCTTTTCTGATTTTAATTTTGTACGTAGGTCTCGTCATTTTTATTGGTTTCAAATTATAATGCTCTTTTTTTTAATTTTGCGAAGATAAATTTTTGAATAATGTTACGTTTTTATTGTACAGTAACAATCCAAGTTTCTACACCCCCTTAGCTGGGTGCTCGCTTAGGCCAGGGTTGAGGTAAAGCTGGGTGATCGGACGCAGACTAGTTCAGCAATGTGGTAACGAGGCACTATGATGGTGAGGTTCACATTCCACCACCACAACACTCCGAGACTCATAGCACACGAGCACAGGAAGGAACTTATTACGGGCAATCCCCATTGGGAGGTTCACGGCGCCAACAGCTCGATGAACAGGCTTTGTGTGAAATATAACAAAGTCTATGATTACTTTTAGTGTCCTTATGGCATGGTTGGTCGCTTTCCCTTGTCACATGCATAAGGTCGAGGGTTCGAGTCCTGGCTGGTGAGGTCGTTGATTATTTGCTCAAGTCCGAGTGTTATATAGACTAAAAATGAAATATATATGGTACCTCGTATTTCATACTAGTCAGGATTAGAACCCTGGACCTAAAGCACTCGGAGTACCACGTTCTCACGGGTTCGATTCCCGGGCCGGTGGAAAAGTTATTTGGACATACTTCCGAGCCCTCATTGGTCCCTGTTCACCTAGCAGTGATGTAGGTACCTGTTGTAACTCGAAAGTTGCGAATTCTCATTCAGGGAAAGTTGTTGGAGCTTCCAATAACTTGATGACATAAACCATTGACACTTCAGGCTTCTACGCCTTTGACTCTTCAGGCTTCTACGTCCTGAACTCATGAGACATAAAAGCAAGCATGAACTTAGCATGCTTTTCTGTTGGGCGCTGTAAACGCTTCTGCGCTTCACCTTACACAAGGATGTAGGAGAGTGCCCCCCCCCCAAAAAAAACCCAGCACAAGGCATCTCACAGCTTATGGAAGATTACAGTTGGGTGATTGTATTATATAAACTAAATGTATTAACCCAAATTTATGTAATTGTTACTGCCATTAGACAAGGGCTAATATATATATATATATATATATATATATATATATATATATATATATATATATATATATATATATATATATATATATATATATATATATATATATATATATATATATTAGTGTTAAAATTCAGATTTAATATAAGCCTATACGATATACATATGATGTAAGTGTTTAATTCTATGATGTTTTCCAGTTGGAGTTGTTCAAAAAAGAGCACGCTGGAGGACTGGGAACAGCCAAACGAGCAGTTGAACAAGCTATTGAACGAACTACCAACAATATTGCCTGGGTGGAAAACAACTACAGTGTTATTATACAGTGGCTCGAAGACCACGGCTATTCCGCACTGGTTAATGAAATTTAAATTTTCCATATGTTTAATTCATTTACAGTATACGGAGAAGCAGGAACTGGATACGTAATAAGATATTGGAATTGTTGTTTCTGTGTCAATGATGTGGTATTGAAGATGAGTTTTATCTTCATGTATTGCCCTATTTTATCCATTTTTAAGAGTTAGCAACTTGGACTGGCGTTAGATATAGCCACATCTCCCTTACAATATTGTATACTGTGTTATATCATAACTCTCTTATTAAGTCGTTTTGCTTGTCTCCGCCCATGTGTGTGTGTGTGTGTGTGTGTGTGTGTGTGTGTGTGTGTGTCATGCTAAATAGAGATAATTGCCGATTTAGCCCAAAAAAAAAACAAGTTAAGTGTTTGCCGAATAGGGAAAACTTTTTGTATTGCTACAATTCAATAGAAATTAATTTGTACATGTTAAATTTGTCGATGTCTAATGCAAGGCGTCGTTTACTATCATAAAATTGCAAAATTATACCTAAAGTAGGTTATGTTAGGTAACGTTAGGTAAATGAAGCTTTTCATATACATGGATAAACCCAAAGGAATTATCGTTAATCGGCAATTATCTATATTTAGCGTAAAAAAATTAAAATAATAAAAAATAAATAGAATAAATAAATAAATAAATAAATATATATATATATATATATATATATATATATATATATATATATATATATATATATATATATATATATATATATATATATATATATATATATATATATATATATATATATATATATATATATATATATATATATATATATATATATATATATATATATATATATATATATATATATATATATATATATACAGTATATGAGTTGGCTTTCTGAAAATGCTATTATTAAAACCCTATACAGGGGATATACAGTATATTGATGTTACATGAGTATTTGGTACTGTACAGTCGGGGTCAAAAGTCTTGAACACTTGATAGTATTTGGCATGTAAGTACCCGAAAATCTTATGTATTAAGGTAAGATCAACTGGTGATCTGCTCTCCTATTGCACCCATCTTTGGTCATCCTCTCTTAGGGATCATGGGGAAACTTTCGTTGTGTCCCTTGTCATTTCCAAAGCATTTGACAGGGTATGGCACAAGTCTTTTCTTTCTAAACTTCCCTCGTATGCTTTCTCTCCCCCACTTTGTTTTCTAATCTCTAGCTTACTTGAGAACTGATTATTGACAGTTGTTGTCGAGGGATCGATCTCTAGCTCTTTCTCTACCAATAGTGGTGTCCCAAAGGGTTCTGTTCTTTCACCTACTCTCTTCCTTCTTTTTATCAATGATTTACTTCCCAGTACAACTAATTCTATTCATTCTTTAGCTTATGATTCTTCTCTTCACTCTTCTTCACACTTTCCCCTTCCTCCTAACTCTTAAACTATATCTGTTTCTAGAGCTGATATCATTACTTCTATCAATGCGGATCTGTGCAGCATCTCTGAATGGGGAGGTAGAAACTTGGTTAAATTCAATAGTAATAAAACTTAGTATTTACCAATTACACTTTCTAAATTAGATGATCTCCCATCAATTACATTTCAGGACGCTATCATTCTGCCAAATTCTGAAATAGATAGGCTAGGCCTCACCATTTCCTGCAATATGTATGGAAGTCCCACATTCTCAACATAGCCAAAACTGCCTCCCGAAAGTTGGGAATGCTGTACAGATGCTGTAGCTGCTTCACTCCTGAGCAGTTGCTTCAAGTATATAAGGGATTCATTCGTCCTAACTTGGAGTACTGCTCTCATATCTGAGGTGGCTCTTCTTCTGTCCAACTGTTAGATAGGGTGGAATCAAAGGCATTTCGTCTTATTAACTCTCTTCCTTTATCTCTCTCTTTTACAGGTACTTTAACAGGCAAAGTTCGGTGAATTTGGTATCCTGTGTACCGCCGGCATGGCCGTGGGCTTGTAACACACGTCTTGCCCGCGGTGCCCACCGTTTCTCTGTGGATGTCGGTCACACAAGAATAACCCGTTATAATACATCCTTCTTTCCTCACACAGCCAAACTGTGGAATGTTCTGCCTTCTTCTGTGTTTCCATACTTATACAATCTGTCTCACTTTAAAAAGCTGGTTTTCCGGCATCTTCATGGTGTAGATTAACACAGTATAACCATTTTCTTCTCTATTTTCAACTTCTTTCTATTCTTATTTTTTCGCCCCTAGGCCCCGTTGTAGGTCGTTCGACCTGTGCCCGGGTGGGCTACTTCCCGTAAAAAATAATATATGTAAAGGGTATGTATAACTCAGAAGTAGATGCCAGGTATTGCTAAGTGTTCAAGACTTTTGACCCCGACTGTACATGGTACATTAATGACCAGTGTTACTTAACAGATTACGGAACAACAGTTATATCCACCGTTACTTAACTGTCAATGATTCATGGTGCAACAGTTATGGCCACTGTTACTTAACAGCTAATGATACATGGTACAACAGTGATGACCACCGTTACTTAACTGTTGATGATACATGGTACAACAGTTATGGCCACTGTTACTTAACAGTTAATGATACATGGTACAACAGTGATGACCACCGTTACATTTAACAGTTAATGATACATGGTACAACAATGATGACCACCGTTACTTAACAGTTAATGATATATGGTACAACAGTGATGACCACCGTTACTTAACTGTTAATGATACATGGTACAACAGTGATGACCACCGTTGCTTAACTGTTAATCATACATGGTACAACAGTGATGACCACCGTTACTTAACAGTTAATGATACATGGTACAACAGTTATGGCCACTGTTACTTAACAGTTAATGATACATGGTACAACAGTTGATGATCACTGTTACTTAACAGTTAATGATACGTGGTACAACAGTGATGACCACCGTTACTTAACTGTTAATCATACATGGTACAACAGTGATGACTAACCGTTACTTAACTGTTAATGATACATGGTACAACAGTGATGACCACCGTTACTTAACAGTTAATCATACATGGTATAACAGTTGTGGGAATTAATTTCCACCTTTATCCTCCAGGTCCTTAAAGCACCGTAGTAGTGATCTTGTGTGTTATCGGGCTTGGAATAACAACCCAATGTGGTATATATAAATAATTTGCTAATTAACTAATGATTTAATTATCTAGTTAGGTTAGGGAAATGAAAGCGAAGTGTAAAAAAATAATTGTAAAAACACTATTTTGCACCCGGTAGACGGATTACTTCACGGCGTAGTCACGGGCGTAGTCCCCAGTGAAATCTCTGATACAATATTCAAGGTAGTATACAAAATAGAAGAGGTCTGCAATTCTATGGTGGCCATCACTTTACTGGAACCCCAACTCCTGCCTCTTACAGCCAGAGTATCAGAGGAAACCTATAAATCAGTATCACGATCCGTAAATAATTGAATTCAATGTAAATATAAAAGCACCAGAAATTACATTCATTTCAATGCAAAATCGTTTCAGAGAAACTTGAAAGCTGATGGTGTACACTGGAATGCCCAGGGTCGATATTTTGTTGTCAATAAATTTAAGAACTTGATTAACAAGAAGGACTCACACCATTTCATATGGCAGGCCCTAGGCGAACCTTCTTCACCAGCTAACAATTGAATCTGGAAGTAGGAGGCAGGAGAATCTGAGGCAGAGGATAAATTAATCAAGTGTAATTTTCAGAGTTTGATTATTTTGTTAGCATTATTACTTTAAATTTTGGCCTTTTCGTTTGTTACCTCCCTGTGTTTTGGCAAACCAGAAAGTCAAAGGGGGATAACTTTATTGCGATATTAATAATTTAATTTAACTTCATAGGGGAATTTTGATACCTACCTTATGAAATATTTTATGCTACTGCCTCAGAAATAATGAGTAGGTTGAATTGCTGATGATTAATTGCCATTTTACCATTGATATAAATGCTTGTTGATTCAATGAAGTTTGGTTTGCATTAGGGGATTACAATATTTGAAATTTGATAATAATTTTGATAATAATAAATTGAGTAGTTTGTCCCTAAGATTCTCTAATTCAAAGAGCACTAATTAATGATGCTAGATTAACTAACTTCTCGTGTTTTTTCAAACCTATGAAGTAAGGCCTATAAATCATCGTTTATCTGGTGTCTCTGGTTAGAGTAAAATCTTTAATTGTATTTTAATATAACTTGGTCTGGTACTATTATATTTCTTATTTGCTGGCTTGAATTTAATCAAAATGTCTGAGGGACTTCTAAAGAAATCCGTGAGTGCAAAATTGGGATGGTAACTTGGAGTGTAAATGAATGCAAAGATATGTTGCAAAGTGGTTACAATTATTTTTTTTTTTTGGGGGGCACTCCTCTACATCATTGTGTAAGGTGAAGCGCAGAAGCGTTTACAGCGCCCAACAGGGAAGCATGCTAAGTTCATGCTTGCCTTTATGTCTCATGAGTTAAGTGAGTAGAAGCCTGAAGAGTCAAGGGCGTAGAAGACTGAAGAGTCAGTGGTTTATGTCATCAAGTTATTGGAAGCTCCAACAACTCCCTGAATACGAATTCGCAACTTTCGACTTACAACAGGTACCTACTTTACTGCTAGGTAAACAGGGACTAATGGGGGCTAGGAAGCAAGTCCAAACAACTTCCACCGGCCCGGGAATCGAACCCGTGACATCTCGCTTGCGAGGCAAGAACGGTACCGCTTCTACCACGGATCCCCAGTGGTTACAATCCTCAAGGGTTATTTAGCTACTCAGATTGAAATCTTGAAGGGTCGTTGGACAAAATATGAGGAAGCTTACACTTAGTAAGAAGATTATTTGATATCTGAGGATTTAAGTGATAATTACGACCTGGAGACAACCTCACATGATAGATCAGTGGAGTCTTACTTATCTATACTAAGGAAATGTGAGAGTAATTTGGCTAAGTACCCGGATAGTACATCAGGAAACAGTGTCGGAGCGCTGCCCAAACTAAAGTTACCTATCCTAACACTCCTGAGTTTAGTGTAAAAGAAAATTGAAATTCCTTTCGGGGCAAATTCAAGTATTTAGTACAAGACCGAGTTGAAGTGCCAAAAGTTAATAAGTTATCATATTTGTTATGTCAATTAAAAGGAGCAGTTTATGACCTAGTATCAGTACTTACCATTGAAGAAGCCAATTATGATGTAGCTGTATCGGTCTTGAAGGCTAATTTCGATGACGCAGAGTTAAGTTTACAGACAGCAATATACAAATTGCTGGATCTTCCTGGTCCCATACATAACTTTGATGAATTACAAGCCTTTCGTATTACTTTGAGTTGTACTTTAAAATCATTGAACAATCTCAAGGACTTATTTACCGCTTCCTGGTTGATAAATCACATAGTATAAAAAAAGAAAAAGAATTTGTGATGAATTGTACCATAAGTATAAAAAGAATTGCTTTTCATACCAAGAGAGAGAAGAAGTATTAATGGAACTGTGTAAACAGTTGCAATCATCATTCAGGAAAGAAAATATAGAAACGAAAGGGAAAGTGAATGGAAAAAAGGGAAAGACAACCTACAAAAAGCTGTAACAAAGGAACCAAGGGGAGTAGTGTGGAAGGAAGAAATAGGTACCTACCTCACTTCTTTAAGAGATAAGTCAATGGCAAAGACAGCAAATACAGCTATAGGTTACTCAGGGAAAGCAGGTTCTGAACATATTAGAAAAAAGCCTATAAATCTTAATGCGAAAACCTGCATATTTTGTAGTGAACAGCACAGTACGGTGTATTGTAAAAACTGTCCAGATTTGCTGTCCCGTCTTAACAAACTGAAAGAAAATAGTTGTTGTCTAATATGTCTGAGCCCTAACCATAAGGCAAGCGAGTGTTCAACGAAGTTGTCCACTTGCTTTAGATGTAAAGCCGAAACCCATCATAGTGCATTGTGTCCTAGAGTAAGTAGTGAAGAAAAGGGTCAAGCAAAATCAGTAAATGTAAGCATGTCATTAACTAACCCTCCTAACTCAGTAACTGTGCCAGCAGGTGTACCCACAGCAGAAATCAAAGTAATTAATGGTAAGAAATCCATAATGGTCAAGGCATTGTTTGATACTGGAGCACAGAAGACTTTCATCTCTGGAGTTGTTGTTCGTGCATTGCAGTTGATTGCAATAAATAAAGTAAATATGGCCATCATAGGATTCCTAACGAGCGAAGACTCGCAATCCTTTGATTTGATAAAACCACTAGTCCAGTTAGGTAGGTATAAGTGTCGCGTGACAGCAGCTGTAATAGACCCCATGGACACGAAGATAGTAAACAAAGGACTGAGACAAACAGTAGAATATCTTAAATCCCAGGGAGTGAAGTTAGCTGATGGAAAAATGGAATCAGATATGGTTGGTCCTATTAGGTTGATCATTGGTTCTGATTATTGTGGAAGGATCCTTCGGAAGACTATTAAAAGAAATATTATGTCCAAATGATTACAAGTCCAGGAGATAACCTTATAATGGGTCCCTTGCCATACCAAGATTCCTCTCCACGATTAGACAACCTAGTAGACTCGGTTTTTGTGACGCCGACTCAGTCTCTTCTGATGGCCAGAATAGAGGCAGTAATAGAGCCGACTCAGATACAAGAGGCTATTCAAGAAGAGATTGAACCGGTGCACAAATTGTGTGATCTAGATACTATAGGAATAAATCCTGAACAGCCAACACCCGAAGATAAAATATCTTATGATAATTATTTAGAAAGATGGGCAATTCTGGGTGGGATTACCATGGAAGTTAAATGCTCCTGAATTACCAACTAATCATTGTGCCGCCAAGGGACAAGTTAAAACACTATTAAACAGACTACAAAAACCCCCTTCCCTATTGACAACATATGGCAGTATCATAAGGGATCAACTGGCTAATCACTTTATAGGGATAGTCACTGATAGTGATCATATTTTTGGTCATTATTTGCCAAACTTAGCCGTGAGAGAGAATCAACCACTACTCCAGTAAGAATAGTATTCAATTGTAGTCATAGAACCAGTAAAGGAGCTCCTAATATGAAAGACTGCTTGTATAAAGGACCAAATCTGAATGGAAACTTGGGGGATGTCCTATAAAAATTTAAAACGAAGAAATATGCCTAGGTGACGGATATATCTAAGGCATTCTTAAGGATAGGTCTTAGGGAAGAAGACAGAAAGTTCACTAAATTCCTTTGGCCAGAAAACCCGTACAGTTCAGGAAGTCCTTTGATTCCCTACCAGTTTAAGTCTGTATTGTTTGGCTCATGTTCAAATCCTTTCCTACTCTGTAGTACCTTTCAGCATCATTTCCGTAATTCGAAGTGTCCAGAAATAGGGCAGAACTTCTATATGATAATTTACAGGGGGTAGTAGAAACTGAGCAGGAGGCGTTGACAGTATATGACACGGACAACCTAGAGTACCAAAGAGCCAATATGCAGTTACAAAGCTGGAACAATAATTATGAAGCTCTCAAAGATGTTATCTTTAAAGATTACACTAACTATGAAATGTTTGTAAACCAATCTGTTCTTGGAATGATTTGGGGTGTAAAAACAGACATACTGAACTTAAAACCACTCCGCTTCCCCTGATTCTAGTTCCCTTACTAAAAGACCCTTGTTGAGCCATATATCCCTGTTGCTCGATCCTTTGGGTATAATGAGTCCCGTAACAATTAAATAAATAATTCTCATGCAGGAAGCTTGGCGGAAGAAAGTAAATTGGGATACTCCACTAGAAACTAACCCGGGAAATAATCCTCAACTACATGTGTCTTGTGACGTCTCAGCAAACGTGTACGAAGCAGTGGCCTCTCATGTGAATGAGGGTCAATGTAGACTGATTATGGCTAAATCAAGGGTTGTACCTCTAAAAAAGAAGACCTTACCCCAACTAGAATTGACAGCGATTAAGGTAGGGACTCGTTTATCAAAATATGTAAATGAAACAGTTTCGCTGCCGGTCCAAATGTTTATTTGGACAGACAGTGAAATCTTTCTGCATTGGATTGCAAAACAAGATAGCCACATTCCCTATGTCAGGAATCGGGTAGAGAAAATTTTAGAAATGCAGACCCGAGTTCAATTTAGGCATATGTCTTCTAAAGACAAACCAGCAGATATATTGTCCAGGGGAGCTAATGTCAAAAAATTCATGAATGACCAATTACGGTTTGAAGGTCCTTCTTGGCTGACTTCAAACGAATGGCCTGTTCAAAAGGAGTACAAAAAGCGTTCTGATGAAGCAGTTGTACACATGGACCCAGTCACATTTCCTGATCGGCCAGCTATAGACATTACAAGATTTTCTTCTCTGAACAGATTATTATCCACGACTAAATAGTTTTTGACTTTGGGGAAAAGAAAACTAAAATTAAATCTATTGATCCCTTGAACTATTGGATAAAACAAGTACAAGGTGATGAGTTCAAGGACTTATTGTCCACAAAAGATCCTAAAATTTTTAAACATAAACTAATCAAGGATTTAGCACTGTTCCTAGGCCAAAAGGGCTTCAAAAGTTGTCATGGGAGGCTAGGGAAAGCTGATTTCCCTTTACTTACACGCTTTCCTATCCTCGTACCTAAAGAAAGTCATTTGACTAAATTAATTGTAGAAGAGGCTCACCAAACCTCTCTACATGGAAGACAAGCGGTTAAGCGCTATCTACAAAATTGTATTCATTGCAAGAGATACGAAGCAAGACCGATGTCTTATCTGCCCTTTGATAGAATACGGGGAACAAGACCCTTTGAGGTTACAGGTGTGGACTACGCTGGGGCTATAAGCATTACGGGTGAAAATCCTCCAAAGATAGTTTATATTTTCCTCTTCACTTGTGCTTTTACCAGAGCAATACATCTGGAAATAATAGAAGATTTGAGTTCTGATACATTCATGAATATGGTCATAAGATTTGCTGCCCGTCGCTCGTGCCCAAGAAGATTAATTAGTGATAATGGGACAAACTTTGTCGGAGCAGCCCCTTTAGTTAAGTCCATCATGGATTGTAAAGAAGTAAGTACAGCTCTGCAAGTGAGGAAATGTAGTTGGACATTTGTTGCACCTAGAGTCCCCTGGCAAAACGGGTTCACAGAAAGAATGATAGGAATAGTAAGGAACTGTCTGAGGAAGACCCTTCATAAAACTAGAACAACTCTTGATGAATTGAGGACGGCAGTCACCAAAATAGAAATTAGAGTTAACAACAGACCGCTTACGGATTTAGATGACTCTAACCCTATCATAGAAGTCTTACCTCCAGCTCACCTGTTGTATGGTAGACGGGTAGATCCCCTTCCTTCTTTAGATGTACAGGACGAACTGGAGGATCTGAATGTGGTCGACCTCGCTTCTGAACAGAAACTTAGACAAAGCTACAAAAGGTTACAGAAGGTACTAGAAGGCTGGGATCGAGAAAAAGCTAACGGTGCTCTCCCAGCAACGAATAAAGTTTTGCTTAAACTTGGAGAGGTCGTTCTACTGAAAAAAGAACAACCTCGATCAAGGTGGCCATTGGCAAAAATAGTATCTGTGCATCCAGACGACAAAGGGGTGATTAGGGTAGTAAAAGTCATCGTAAAGAGTCAAACTAGTCTGAAAACTATTAACAAACTTGTTCCTTTAGAGTTGCCCGAAATCAAAGTAGAAGAAAGGTCTAGTGATGAGGATGAACCGGTCGACCAAGGTGACAAGAGGACATCTCGTTCCACTGGAGCAGCCGCCTTGAGTTCCCAAAAGCTTTGGAGGGGATTGCTTGTTAAGAGCCACATAACATGATGCGACACATCATTTCCTCCCCAGTCCCTTTATGCGGGAAGTAATTTCCACCTTTATCCTCCGGGTCCTTGAACCTCCGTAGTAGTGATCTTGCTGTGTTATCGGACTTGGAATAATAATCCAATGTGGTATATGTAAATAATTTGCGAATTAATTGATGATTTAATTATCCAGTTAGGTTAGGGAAATGAAAGCGGAGTGCAAATTTTTTTTTTGTAAAAACACTAGTTGACACCCGCAAACGGATTACTTCTCTATTGATCACGTTAATATCGTTTAATTTATACGACATCAGTGGCAATACTTACATAATTAAAAATGTAAATATGTATTTCTATTAAGAAATAGTATCGTAAAGAAAAATAATAATGAATATTTAGTTTTTGTTTATGTATCTTTGCGCGATTGTGTCACGCAATTGTACAAGGTGAAAGAAACCCATTCCCATTTTACACTTCATGGGAGGCAGACGCGACTCTCAAAATCTAGCAGACAGCCGGCAACCCAAGGACTATTCAAACTTCTCAGTTCCTCCAAGAATCTCTACAACCCATAGCAGCCCCTAAAATAACAGCTAAGTACTTTTTTAAAGTTTAGGTGATCACTTATTCATGAGTACTACTATTTTAAGCGTACGGGGCTAGCTTAGGTAATTATATTATATTATTTTACATTATATTTTAATAACTTAGATTTAATATCTACAACCATGATGACCACCGTTACTTAACTGTTAATGATACATGGTACAACAGTGATGACCACTGTTACTTAATAGTTAATGATACATGGTACAACAGTGATGACCACCGTTATTTACGATTTAATGATACATGGTACAACAGTGATGACCACTGTTTCTTAAGAACATAAGAACATAAGAAAATAAGGAGTCTGCAATTGGCCGGTTGGCCTGTGCATGGCTGCTTCTGTTAGGAGTTACAACCACCCTCTATCGTCCATGAATCCATTAAAAACTTTCCAACGTCCCATCACTTACTACAAAGTTGCTAAGCTTGTTCCACTCATCTACCACCCTATTTGTGAGACAGTTTTTTCCTATCTTCCCCTTAAACCTAAACTTATCCAACTTAAATCCGTTGCTACGAGACCTATCCTGCTCTGATATTATAAAAACTTTCTCTATATTTTCCCTTTATTGATTCCTTTCACTCACTTAAATACTTCTATCATATCTCCTCGCACTCTTCGTCTTTCTAAGGAATGCAAGTTTAGTTTCTTTAATCTATATTGATAGGGAAGGTTTCTAAGTCCCGGAATCATTTTCGTCAATCCATTCTATAATAAGGACACCAGAACTGAACAGCATAATCGAGGTGCGGCCTGACTATCCCAAGATATAATTGCAATATGACCTCCGCACTCTTATTACTTACACTTCTAGGTGTAAAACCTAATACTCTGTTTGCCTTATTTCGAACATTAATGCACTGTTTTCTAGGCCGAAGGTCCGGGCTTACAATTACCCCTAGGTCTCTTTCAAAAGTCGACTTCTCTAGTTCGATGTTGTTAAGGCTGTATACATTTACAGTATTTGTTCTTCCAATATGAAGTACGCTGCACTTGCTGGTGTTGAATTTCATTTGCCATTTTCTGACCACTGCTGCAGTTTATTTAAATTCTCCTGTAGTGCATTTGCATCCTGCTCTGAATTAATCTGCCGCCCTATTTTGGTGTCATCCGCAAACTTGCTTATGTCACTGCTGATCCCAGTATCTAGATCGCCTATGTAGATTAAGAACAAGAGTTGGCCCAGTACTGACCCATGGAGACCCCCACTAGTTACACAGCCCCGCAAAGATTTAAAACCATCTACGCTGAGCCATGATTTTATTCAATTTAAAACTTTCCCCTCGATACCATGAGCCTTAACTTCCCTCAGAAGCCTCTGATGCGGTACTCTGTCAAATGCTTTGCTAAAGTTTAAGTAAATAACATCGTAATTTTCGTCATTATTTACTACCTCATAGACTTTCCTAAAACACGTCAGGAGATTTATTAGACAAGATTTTCGCTTTGTAAATCCATGATGAGAGTCATAGATTAATTTGTTTTTCTCTAAATGCAAGTGGATGCTATTTGCTATAATTGATTCAAGAAATTTCCCACAACCGACGTCAAACTAATCGGCCGGTAATTTGACTCTGATGCTCTGTCTCCCTTTTAGAATATGGGTACTACATTTGTATGGGTACTACATTTGCCTGTCTCCACAATTCTGGCACAACTCCCGTGTCTAATGATTTTGTAAATAAATTTACGAGGGATCCGTTAATCTGTTCCTTACACTCTTTCAAAACTCGAGGGAAAATTTCATCCTGCCCTGGGGATTTTGTCTTCTTTAATTTATTTATCTTCAATAGAAAATCCTCTTTTCTGATAGTGATATCCTTTAGTTTCTCTTCTTCATTTCCCCTAGATGTCAGTTCCACCTCTGGCATTTCCTCGTGAATTTCTTCTGGGAAAACTGATATGAAATAGCTATTTAATGCTTTGCTTTTTTCCGCACTAGCATCGATCACTTCCCCTCTCTCTCTGACTTTAAAGTCCCCACTTTGTCCCTGACCTTTGTCCTATAAACCTAGAAAAACCCCTTGGGAATCGCCTTGGATTCTCTTGCTACCCTGATTTCGTATTACTTCTTTGCCTTCCATACATTTTTCTTAACATTCCTAGATAGTTCATTATATCTATCTCTGAGATTCTCCTCCCCTCCCTTTAATTTCTTATAAATTCCTTTTTCTCTCCCTATGTCATGTTTAAGTTTTTTGGTCATCCTCCTTGGCTCATTCTTGTTTGACCTAATTTTTCTGTTTGGTATATTTTGTTCCTATGCTTTACGTAGTATACAAGCGAATTTAGTATAGTCATCATCAACTTTTGTGTCTCCGGTGACCTCAACCATTCCTACTGGGGACTGACGTGACTGTTCCCAGGTGACCTCACCTAGGTACCCATAATATGCAGATCAAAAGTCTGGGACTCTGACCATAATGTCATTTTTTTTCGTTTCCCGATTTAGGGTAAACCTGATTTCTCTGTGATCACTTTTCCCTCGTTCTTCCCCTATTGTGATATCTCTGATAATATTTTCTCTATTTGTTAATACTAGGTCTATTATATTGTCACCTCTAGTAGGTTCTTTAATTAGTTGTTTTAAAAAAAATGTCCTGTACTGTGTCTAGGAAGTCACCTATAATGTTGTTCCAGTCAATATTTCTGAAGTTGAGAGCCCCCATAATGCACAGGTTGTTGTAACTTGCTGCCCTACTCATTTCCTGCCATATGGTCTGAGCTGCTTCTTTCACTAGACTTGGGGGCCTGTAAATCACTCCCATAATTAGTTTTTCTCTTCCTTCTGCAATTTCTACCCATACAGACTCGGTTCCAATTTCACCCTTTATTGAATTATTAGTACAACATTTTAATGTATCCCTGACGAAGAGTGCGAACCCCCCCCCCCCTCCTTCCTACCTTCCCTGTCCTTATGAAAAAGGTTGTACCCTTCTGTGTGGTACTCTGATAAAAAGTTCTTGCTCGCCAGATTCATCCAAGTTTCGGTGATTGCTATGACGTCTACATTCTCGGTACATACAACCGCTCTCAGCAGGTCTATTTTATTTTTAACGCTCCTACTGTTTGTATAGTATACATTTAAACATACCCTTCCCTGGTCCTGTTTTATCCCTTGTCCTGAGTAACCAATTTTACTTCCCAGGACTTGCTTATTTTTGATTCCCACTTGCCCCGACCTCTCTACTGGCGAAACCCCCTTTGGAGCATAATTTCACGCTCGGATGCAGACAACGTCTTTACCTCGCGCAAGACAAGTGTACTCCGTCACGACTGAACAGGTAGTCGTTGCCATAGAATGGTTGCCAGTTATCAATGAATGCCCAACCATTGCTTGCACAATGTTTTTTCCAGTCGGCAATTTATAGCAATTGCCCTGGACAGCCATTCACGACCAACTTCTCTTCTAGGCAAGACACCACATACTATCGGGATCCCTCCCCTATCTCTAACCTTGCCCAGCGCCTCCCTATACCTCTTGAAAAGTTCCTCACTCCTAACCTTTCCTAAGATGAGTGGATTATGGTCTGTAAAGACCTGAACATCGTGAGCATGATGTTGGAGATAGCACTCAAACTTCTTAAGGGCCTACACCAGGGCTAATCCTTCTTTTTTTTTCAATAGTACTATAGTGGCTTTGGTGAGGTTTCAGCTTAGTCGAGAAATAACAGACTTGATGAAGTACCCCATCAGAATCATCCAGTTATAGAAGGACGGCACCTGAGCCCTCACCTGAGGCGTCCACATGAAGTGTAAAGGGTTCATTGAAGTCTGGAGATTTGAGAAAAGGATTGTTTGTGAGCAACTTCTTTAGTTGGTTAAAGCTTCTTGGCAAGATTAATCCCACTAGAATGGGACTTTCCCGCTGGTAAGAGACGTCAGCGGAGCAGCTACGGATGCGAAATTCTTGCCGTACCTCCTATAATACCCCGCCATTCCAAGGAATCCCATAAGGGACTTGCAGGTTATGGATACTGCAACGTTGAGGATAGCATCGACGTTGACAGTTTTGGGTCGACATCGTCCTTGACCCACGATGTGTCCAAGGTATGTGATGGTGGCCTGGCCGAATTGGGACTTCGCCAGGTTGATAGTCAGGCCTGCCTCGTCCAAGCGCTGTAGGAGAGCTTGAAGACGAGCGATGTGAACATCCTACGTATCTGAAATAACTACCAAATCATCTAGGTATGAATTAGTTCCATCAAGACTCCATTATGTTGTTTATACAGCGTTGAAATGTGGCAGGAACGTTAACCATCCCAAAAAGCATAACCACATACTGAAAGTGTCCAAATGGCGTACAGAAGGCTTACATTAATTTTGCTCTTTCTGTTAATCCAATCTGGTATTATCCTTTCTATAGGTTGATCTTAGTAACAGACTTGGCTTGACCAACGGTATCAACA